CTAAGATAGGAAAGAGCTAGATGGATGAGATCCTAGATGGGGCGGAACTAAGATGAGAAAATTAAGATAGAACATAGGACAGCAGATAAATGCAGAGAGAAATCAGGCAAGAAAGAAGCTAGGCACGAGAACAGAACTGAAGCTGTGTAGATAGGATCTTGTCCCAGAGGAATAAAGTAGATGGACAGAGAACTTGGTGTACTTAGATTCATTTCCCCAAAATAATTCTCACCGTTTGTAGTTTCTCTTCTGGGCCTCTAGGAAGTATATTATTAAGGCTGGTCCTTTTAATAATATATAAGAGAGATGATTCCTACCAACCCCTCCCTAATCATGGATACACGGAGGACATGTTTTACAGACAGGAACATACACATGGATCCCTTAAATAGTTGAAACACTCAAAAGTTTACTACGTGGCCTCCTGCCTCCTGTATTTCCAGGATCAATTGTTCCTGAAAGGGACCGAAGCTCACTGACAGTCACCTCCAAGCACCATTTGCCGTTGGGGCAAAGAAGCCTGGTTATTCTTGTATGGACAGGTGCTAAAGCAGTGCTTCCTTCAGTTTCCCTTCCCTGTAATTCTCCAAGTATCTCCCATGGTCCTTATTTCTGAGACTATCTGGGCCCATGTGGGGCTGCTATAAAAAGACGTCCCAGGTCAATGGCAGTTTCCATGTCTGCTGAGGGCAACTTCCTGTTTCCTGAAGGGAACCTATACAAGGTGTCCCTTCATCTGATCATTTATCCTACCTTCATGATGTAATCACCTCCCAGAGGCTCCACTTGTCATCTCTGGAGCTATATGATCACAGCATGGGAATTTGTGGTCCACCGTTTTCAAAAAGAGCAGGGGCCTATGTCTTAGAAACCAGAAACATGGCTTTTGCTCTTCTGCATGGTTACTCCAACCTCCAAACCTGCAGCTGTCAGTAACAGAATATTCTGCACTGTTCTACAAGTAGGAAAAGATGGGCCTCCTCAAACCACAGATGTGAAGGGAACTGCAGCCACCGCCACCTCTAACATGACAGGGACAGACTGGAGGAGCTACATACAACAGACTCCAAGCCTCTCTAATCAGCCTGGCTTTGGTCTCATATAAACCAGGAAAGCATGAAGGCTCTAGGGTTGGCTTTAGAATCCTTCCTTAAGTGCTCCCAGAGACACACTTGTGTGTATAGACACATAGTTGACCATCAGCACACAGAGGTTTAATTACACTACACAAAATCCCTAAGTACGTAGGAAAGACTACAGGGCAAATAAACATTTCATTGACAATATCAGTCAAATATGAAGGACTTCTGCCTGAGAAGTGAGTATGACCCACATGAATGGCCAGACTTCCCACATTCTAGAGAAATTCCAGGTACCGCCCACATGGTCAGTATTGGGACCTCAGATACATTAGGCCCAAAGACAAGATATGTCATAGTATGGGTGACCTTCACAGTCCAGTGGAGAACCAACAACTTAAACTTGAGTCTCAGCATGATCTGTAACACGATTCTTAAAAAAATCTTATAATAAAAAACCCAGAGCCAGATATTGGGGTGAAAGCTGAAGATCAGAGAAGCAGATGTGTGGCCTTGAACTCACAGAGATCCATTCTGCCTCCCGATAGGATTAAAGGTGTGTGTGTGTGTGTGTGTCTGTCTGTCTGTCTGTCTGTGTCCCAGGTGGTCTTATTTCTGGGGAAAATAGAATGAACAGATTCCATTTTATCTCACCCTTCGAAAGCAGCTATAAATTGCAGACAGGAAACACAAAATTTTTATTTGTGCACCTGAAATTTAAATAGGCAGATTAAGGGGAAAACATATTTTAAGAGCAACAAACTAGCAATGATTTTATCATGTCCTCCCTTTTGTATCCACCTGCCTCAGTACAGTGTGGTCTGAAGCCTAGACGTGGACACTGGGCACACATTAACTGTTCCAGGACAAACTTATAGTTCTGCCTCAAGGATGAAAACGGAATCCACTATTCTCTGGGAGACTCTGGGGCAGCCCATTTTCTCACTCCTTTGTGTCCAGGGGCCCCAAACATGAGTTTGGTGAAAACAGTACAGAAGGGGAGAGAGCCTGCCACAGAGTCCACGAGAATCAACGTCTGGCGAGACTGGAAAATTCTCCAATCCACAAAACCCTATCGTGTCCCCCTCCCTTTCCTCTGCTTTTCTGCCTCTTAGCTCCAGTCACAGGCATAAAAGGGAAGTGCATAGCAGAGAATCTTTAAAAAAAAGATTGTATGTCTGTCTGTGTGGAGAGCTATGTGTAACAGGTCTTTCTTTGGACCACCAGCTCCTGAATAATGGCACAGAGACTTCTTATTAAGTATGAAAATTTGGCCTTAACTTAGGCTTGTTTCCAACTAGCTCTTAAAAATTAAATTAGCTAAGTGGTGGTGGCGCACACCTTTAATCCCAGCACTCGGGAGGCAGAGCCAGGTGGATCTCTGTGAGTTTGAGGTCAGCCTGGTCTACAGAGCAAGATCCAGGACAGGCACCAAAACTACATAGTGAAACCCTGTCTTGAAAAACAAAAACAAAAACAAACAAACAAAAAGAAACTTAAATTAACCCATTTATATTAATCTACATTCTGTTATGTGGTTAATTACCTCTACTCAGTACCATATGATCGATTTCCTCTGTGACTGGTGGAGAATTTCCTGCACCTCAGATTCTTTCCCAGAGTTCCTATCTCTCCCCGGAAGTCCCACCTATCTTCTCCTGCCTAGAGACTGTTCAGCTATTTATTAAACCAATCAGAAGGTGCCTTAGGCAGATGAGGAAGGACAGAGACACATCTTCACACAGTGTACAGCAAGGTTATCCCAACTGCTAGGTTTCCATAGGATTATGTTAGTACTGGCAATTAGGTTTTGATGTCCTGAGAGTGAACAATTCCAAAAGGAGACTGAGAAAGAAAAATCACCAACTGTACACCAAAAAGAAAATATTTAGAAATTCATTTAGCCCAGGAAGTAAATGCAGCATATAGAAATCTATAAAATGGTAACAAAAGAAATGCAAGCAAATGGAGATACCATGACTATGGATTGGAAAGCTAAATATTGTTAAGATGGCAACACTATTCCAAAGTACCCTACAGATTTAATTCAATTTCTACAAAATGGCAAAAAATTATTTTTATTGCAAAAAAGAGAGACACCTACTCTAAAAGTTATATGGAATTTAAAGATCCCCTGAATAGTCAAACTTTTCCTCAAAGAATAAATGCTTAGTTGGATCAATGACATATGTAATTGAGAACATAGGATTTGATTAAAATTCTATAGAAATAAGACACCTGGATTGTGGTGAACATGGTAGGCTTGTATGAGACACAGAATATGATCTAATTTTAGGACTATCAGGACTTGGGTTCAAGTTGGGGATATGTGAGGAATCTCACAATATAAAGTTGCATGAGCCAAGTGAAATGGTGTGTTCTAAGGACCCTGAATAGGTTAATTTAAACTGGGCAGTGTGTGGAGAATAGAGGAGCTGAGACTGGGCAGTGTGTGGGGAATAGAGGAGCTGAGACTGGGCAGTGTGTGGGGAATAGAGGAGCCAAGACTGGGCAGTGTGTGTGTGTGTGTGTGTGTGTGTGTGTGTGTGTCTGTGAATAGAGGAGCTGAGACTGGGAGTGTGGGGAATAGAGGAGCTGAGACTGGGCAGTGTATGGGGAATAGAGGAGCTGAGACTGGGCAGTGTGGGGGGAATAGAGGAGCTGAGACTGGGCAGTGTGGGGGGAATAGAGGAGCTGAGACTGGGCATTGGGGGGAATAGAAGAGTTGAGACTGGGCAGTGTGGGGAATAGAGGAGCTGAGACTGGGCATTGGGGGGAATAGAAGAGTTGAGACTGGGCAGTGTGGGGAATAGAGGAGCTGAGACTGGGCAGTGTGGGGAATAGAGGAGCTGAGCATAATAAGAATATCTTGGAGAACCAATCAGTCGGTTATAATTGCCACATTGGGGCTCAGAGGTCTCAAAGGCACAGTTGATAAATAACTCTGTTGCCATTGCTGTTAAAGAGGTATAGACAAAATCCAGAGTGGGAAGGGTGGTTTAATAATATACCGGGTCCTTCCTGGTCTTGGTTAGGGTAAGTGAGCCAGAGTGCAGCGGAGAACACTTCCTTCTTAGTTATGTGCCGGAGCAGGTGAGACTGTTGAGGAAGAGGGTCATACACACAAGCAAGACTTATCTAGGATCACAGCTGGGCTCCAAGCTCTCCACGTCACAGTCAGGTCCTGAAGTCAGGACCAAAGAGGAACAGATAGAAATGAGGGAGATAAACACAACTGTTTTTTTTCCCCCAGAACTCAGTGAATACAGAGTTGGCAAGCTATGCCGGTTTTACAGTTCCTTCCAAAACTCATTTTCTGAGATGCCTCCTATCTAAAATGCAAAGCAAATAGAAGACATCAAATCCAGGGGACAGAAAACAGAACCATAGCTCAAAGTGTGGAAACTAAATGAAGAACAACTTATTATTATTATGAACAACAATTTTATGGAATAAAATTCTTCTTAATTTTTGGCAAGTCTGTGTTTAAAAAGTAATGTATTCTTTCAGACTTTGAATTTCAGTTAAGCAGACTGTACTCATTTTGTTCTCTGGTCTTATACTACAGAATGTTGCTGAGTTATTGTTAAATATTTCATGAAGGAGTCTTGAAGATCACCATAAATATTTACAGGAACGAATAAATGTGGTGTGATTTCTCTAGAGTGGGTGTTTGTGTTGCCAATCAAGAGAGAATAACTGAGTCAGAGAAAGTACAGACTGATGCAGAATGAGTCCAAGGATGATTTAGTGCCTACTCAGCTGTGGTTGAGAGTTCAGTTCTCCAGAGGCTAAGGAGAAGGTTACATATGCAAGCATAACATGAGGAAACTGGGTTAGATTTAATGTATTTTTATACATTTAAATTATCTTTTAATGACATAGTGTTGATCTCATTCCTTTCATCAAGCTCCAAGCATTTAGCCATTGACACTGCTGCCATTCCACATCACAGCGACTGGTGAGTATCTATGTTCATCTCTCTGTGTGGTTTTGAGTGCCTCTGTATATGAATAGTCTCCATAAACAATGAAATATGTTTGTAGTTCTGACAATAAAACCAGGGCTTCCCCAATACTAGGCAGTTTCTTAACACTTCTGTCTCCAAGCCAGTAATAAAGTTATTGGATGAGAAGTCAGATACTGTTGTCATGATGGCATAGTGAGTTGATGAGTCTTACAGTAAAAATGACATATTTGAACCTCACTAAGCAGGGGTGAGGGGTTGGGGGCAGTGGGGATGGGTTCTGTGGATGTTGGGGGTCTAAACCTCAGTCCTCATTTGTGTGGCATGTGCTATACCTCTGTGCCTTCCCAAGACCAGTTTCACACAATTTTAAAAGCAATTCCCATGGTACTGAGTAGGTCCAAAACTCAGTGTAATGGGAACAGGACCAAGAGGCTGGACTAAAGTCTAGGAATGAAGAGGTGGCTGAGAGGTGGTTCAAACACAGATGATGTCATTCCTAATCCAGATATATTCTGCCTAAAGTAGAAAAAAGCAAAACTAGAAGGATGAGGGGAAGTGAACTGGATACCAGGTTAGATAATAAACTCACCATTTAGGAGTACTTAAGGAGTACTCTATCCAATTGAGTGTATGAAACCTTATTTTTCATAGGATACACTGATTTACCTTCAGGTACTTGTTCCTGACCAAAGCTATGGGGAGCTTCAACACCAGTTTGGGAGGAGGCTTCATTTTGGTGGGCTTCTCCGACTGGCCTCGACTAGAAATCATCTTCTTTATTTATATTTTGATTTTCTACTCCTTCACTCTCTTTGGCAACACCGCCATCATCGCTCTCTCCAGAATGGACCCCCAATTACACACTCCCATGTACTTCTTCCTCTCCCACCTCTCCTTCCTGGACCTCTGCTACACCACCAGCACTGTGCCCCAACTCTTGATCAACCTTCATGGACTTGACAGGACCATCACTTATGGAGGGTGTGTGGCCCAGCTGTTCATATTTCTTGCTCTGGGCTCCACAGAGAGTTTGCTCCTGGTGGTGATGGCCTTTGACCGCTATGCTGCTGTGTGTCGTCCCCTGCACTACATGACCATCATGCACCCCCTTCTCTGCCAGGCATTGGCTGTTGTCTCCTGGATGGGAGGCCTCATGAACTCTCTGATCCAGACAAGCCTCATGATGACCATGCCCCTCTGTGGCCATCGACTGAATCACTTCTTCTGTGAGATGCCCGTGTTCCTCAAGTTGGCCTGTGAAGACACTGAAGGGACAGAGGCCAAGATGTTTGTGGCCAGAGTGGTGATTGTTGCAATTCCAGCTGTGCTCATCCTGGGCTCCTATACACAGATTGCCAGGGCAGTGCTGAAGGTCAAGTCAACAGCTGGGCGCAGAAAGGCTATTGGGACCTGTGGGTCCCACCTCCTGGTAGTTTCTCTGTTTTATGGCTCAGCCACCTACACATACTTACAGCCCAAAGACAGCTATTCTGAGAGCAAGGGAAAGTTCATTGCCCTTTTTTATACTATCATCACCCCCATGCTCAACCCTCTGATTTATACCCTGAGGAACAAGGATGTGAAGGGTGCTCTGTGGAGGGTGCTAGGGAGAGGCACAGCCACAGGGTAGGAAAGAACAGGTGAGCAGTAAAAAGCTTTACATTCTGTCAGTCCAGAGGGTTTCAGTGGGAGAGGGGAATTGGATGTCAATGCAAGTACAATTAATTATGTATATCATGTGACTGTCAAAGCATATAAAATTAGAAACACAAAAACAAAAACAGTCCTGGGCTGGCAAGATGGCTCAGCAGAAAAAAGGACTTGCTGCCCAGGATCGGAGTTTGATGCTTGAATTCCATATGGTGGAAAAGATAGTCAAGACCTCTGATCTCCCTATACATGTGTGTGTGTGTGTGTGTGTGTGTGTATGTGTGTGTGTGTGTGTGTACAATAAATCAATCAACATAATAAAATTAAAATAAAAGAGAACAGTCCCCAGGAGGCATCAGAATACCATCTTTCTACCTTTTTCTCAACACTACTTTTGTCTCCCAACTTCATGCTTTTGAAAAAAATATATAATCCAGGGGGTCCATGTAGGGCCACCTGCATATGCATGGTTGTGGAGCATCAGGTCTAAGTGGGGCCTCAATATCACCCCATTTTCCTGATGTATCATGACCCTATCTGGCTTCAGTCATAACTTGGGGTCTTTTGTGAAGGCCTCTTATGCAGTGCCTAACATTCCTAGCTTGGAATAAACAAGCTTATGAAGAGCAGAGCTGTTTCATGTAGTGTGTGAAATTCAGACAGGGGTTCATTTACCCTCTTGGAGAAAAAGGCAGAATCATTTATTACACACACTGCAACAAAGCAAGGCGAGAACGATCTCCTAGCAGAACCCTAAGTATCTATCATGCCAACTGGCAGCATTCCTCTCCTGTTAGATAGAGGTGAGATTAGGAAAATGATGATACAAACAGTAAACTAAGGAAAATTCAAAGAAATCTAAACATATATATCCTGATGCAAAAATTTATATAGAATAAAATCTATATTTGTAAGAAAATTATTAATGGAAATTTAAAAGAAGCAAGGGAAGAGGCTACTCTTTATCGTGTGACAAGCTATGTGAAAGTTGATTTGGGGGCTCCATTTTACTGTTCTTAATCTCTGTTTTATTTGACTATCAGTCTTTCATCACTGTTGTTTACTTCCATGTATTTAAATGGTGGTTTCGTGTTTACAAGTGCAGAGATCTTTGTTGATAGACTTTTGTAAGTATGATAAATGTTGTGTTAACTGAATCATGTTTTATTATAATAATTTTCCACTGATTTTGCTTATGTTTGCAATTCATTTTGTCAACTATGTCATTAATTGCATTGCCAAAGTTGTTATATTCTGTTGTATTCTTTGGTTGATGCAAAAATAGAATTTTCACCTCAAAAAGTATTTTGTGGATTTTCCTGGGCAGATGTGAGGAAACATCTACTCACCTAAGATAAAGCAACCATGACAAACCAAAGAAGTTATTTCACCCAACTCTACCTTAGCAAACCAGGGAATCATTTGGGGTCACTTACAGGAGTGTAGAAGGCTCAAAGGCTGCTGCATTACCAAAAAGCCCATCCCAATATTGGTGATAGCACAGGAAACCACATTCATGGACTGGACTTTCCTGCCCACCCGCAGGTGTCTCAGCCAGTCAGACGAGTCTCTTCTCCACAGCAATTGTCTCTGCTTAAGCAAACTTGGGGAAGATTGGTGTATATCTCGTTAGTTTCAGGAACTTCTTTTTTTTTTCATTTTTATTAAGAGATTTTCTACTCACTCCACACACCACCCACAGATCCACCCTTCTCCCTCCTACCACTCCCAGCCCTCTCTGCCAAGCCACCCTGCATGCCCACATCCCCCAAATCAAGGTCTCCCATGGGGAATCAGCAGAGTCTGGCCCACTGAATCTAGGCAAGTCCAAGCCCCTTCCCACTGCACCAAGGCTGTGCAAGGCATTCACACCACAGAATCCAGGGAGAGATTCCAATCCCCTGACTGGGTGCTCCCCATACAGTTCTAGCCAAACAACCATCTTCTATATCCATAGGGCCGAGTCCAGTCCCATGGGGGCTCCACAGCCACCAGTCCACAGTTCATGGGCTTCCTCTAGTGTGGCCTGTCATCTCTATACGTTCTCCCATCATGAACTCGACGTTCCCTGCCTACAGAATCTCTCCTCTCTCTCATCAATTGGATTCCCGGAGCTCAGCCTGGTGCCTGGCGGTGGATCTCTGCATATTCCTCTATCAGTCACTAGACAAAGGCTCTATGATGACAGCTAGGTTATTTGCTAGACCAGTCACCAGAGTAGACCAATCTAGGCACCCTCTGGACCACTGCCAGCAGATCAACGTGGGGTCATCCTTGCAGATTCCTGAAAGCCTCCCCAGCACCCTGCCTCTTCCTATTCCCATGATGTCTTCATCTATCATGGTATCTTCCTCCCTGCTCTCCCACTCTGTCCCTATTCCAGCTTGACCCTCCCATTTCCCTATGTTCTCATTCCCCACTCCTTGCCCTCTGCCACCCCCCATACCCAGTCTGCTCATGTAGATCTCATCCACTTCGCCTTTGCAGGGTCATCCATGTATCCCTCCTAGGGTCTTTCCCTGTTAGCTAGCCTCTCTGGATTTGTGGGTTTCAGTCTGGCCATCCCTTCCCTCACATCTAGTATTCACTTATGGGTGACTACATACTATGTGTGTCCTTCTGAGTCTGGGTTACCTCACTGAATATGATATTTTCTAGGTCCATCCATTTGCCTGCAAATTTCATGATATCATTGTTTTTTTTTACTACATATACTCCATTGTGTATATGTGCCATATTTTCTTTATTCATTCTTCAGTTGAGGGGCATCTAGGTTGTTTCCAGGTTCTTGCTACTACAAATAATGCTGATATGAACATAGTTGAGCATGTGTCCTTGTGGTAAGATTGAGCATTCCTTGTGTATATGCCCAAGAGTGGTATAACTGGGTCTTGAGGAAGACTTA